TTCAGTGTTTTCAACACCTGCACCAAACCCCCTTCTGTTAAATGAAGATGAAGATTCAGAAGATGAGAAACCAGAGAAACTCAGACAACAACTGACAGGACCTGATCTGACATGGTTAAGAGATCATCCTCCAAACCAAGTGATTGGACAAATCAGAAGTGGAGTACAGACTAGATCTGCTACAACAAGAAGAGAAGCAATGTGTGCCTGCTACATATCTCAAATGGAACCTATGACTGTAGAAAAAGCCCTTGCAGACTCAGACTGGATCAATGCAATGCAAGAAAAGCTTACTCAATTTGAAAGGAACAAAGTGTGGGAACTTGTTCCTAGACCAAAGCACCAAAATGTCATTGGAACCAAAGGGTATTCAAGAACAAAGCAGATGAAGAAGGCAACATTGTAAGGAATAAAGCAAGGCTTGTAGCTAAGGGATATTGCCAAGAAGAAGGAATTGATTTTGATGAGACTTTTGCACCAGTTGCCAGATTAGAAGCAATCAGAATCTTCCTAGCTTATGCTGCTTAGTGCCTACAACAATATCAAGGTCTACCAGATGGATGTCAAGAGTGCATTTCTGAATGGAGATCTTGAAGAAGAAGTTTATGTGGAACAACCACCAGGTTTTATCATTCTTACTCAATTTTCTTGTGTCTACAAGCTTAGAAAGGCCCTCTATGGTCTTAAGCAAGCTTACAGAGCATGGTATGACACATTGTCCCTATTCTTAGTGAACCATGGGTTTACTAAGGGAAAGGTTGACAAAACACTATTTCAAATCTCTGTTGCTAATCATATTCTGTTAGTACAAATATATGTTGATGATATTATATTTGGAAGTAGTAATGCAGAATTATGCAAGAAATTCTCTCAAGTTATGCAGAGTCAATTTGAAATGAGTGTGATGGGAGAGCTCAGATACTTCCTAGGACTTCAAGTGAAACAAGCTCCTGAAGGAATTTTTATCAACCAAGGGAAGTACACCAGAAACCTGATCAAGAAGTTGGGAGTAGAAGGAAAATCCTCAGTAAAGATTCCCATGAACACTTCTCAATGAATTGGACCAGATGATGAAGGAAAAGATGTTGATGCAACAACATACAGAGGAATCATTGGATCTCTTCTCTACCTAACTGCAAGCAGACCAGACATATCATTCTCTGTTGAAATCGGTGCTAGATACCAATCAAAGCCCAAGGAGAGCCATCTAAGTGCTGCAAAAAGAATCATCGGATACACCAAAGGAAATCCAAATGCAGGCCTATGGTATCCTAAGGGAGATAACTTTGAACTAATCCGTTACTCTGACTCAGATTTTGCAGGTTGCAGGTTAGACAGGAAGAGCACCTCTGGTCATTGCCAATTGCTAGGTGGGAGACTTGTCTCCTGGTTTAGCAAGAAGCATAATTCTATCTCAACCAGTACAGCAGAAGCTGAATACATTGCAGCTGGGAGTTGCTGTGCTCAGCTACTCTGGATGAAGCAACAACTGAAAGATTATGGCATTCAAGCAAAGGAGATCAAGCTTCTCTGTGACAACACAAGTGTCATTGCAATCACTCAGAATCCTGTTCTTCACTCCAGAACAAAGCATATTGAGATCAGACATCACTTCATTAGAGATCATGTTGAGAAGAAGCACATGTGCATGGAGCATGTGTCAACAGAAGACCAGCTTGCAGATATAATAACCAAGCCTTTGCCTGAGGCTAGGTTCAACAAGTTGAGAGAAGAATTGGGAATGATGGATGAAATCCCTAGAGATGATTGAAAGGAAGACCTTCTGTTGCAAAAACTCTGTTACAGAGACCCAGGTACAGAACCCCTTTTGTTCCTCACCTTGAACAGAGAACCTCTGTTCCTAATAGAACACCTCAGCAACAGAAACCCGTCTTATCCCTAACAGAAGGTTGTGGACTTAGAAAATTTTTGAGGAAACGGGTGACCTAGTTACTTATTGAAAGTCTTTTACCCTTATACCTCTAAACGTTATTACAGCCGCAGAATATTTACTGCGCCCCTTTTTTCATTTATTGGTACCTCGAAACCGTCAATAATCTCAAACGTCCACTAACCTAAACACATATATTCCCCTTCTCTTCAACATAACCCACTACTGCTCTAGTTATTATCAAACCTTCGAACTCCCCTAATTATCTCAAGCCCTCAAAATTTCTCCAACTCTCTGCAATCGCGTTCATCAGTTTCACATCACTCTCCAAATCTCAAAAGGAAACTCTGACCAAGAATGTTCTCACTGGAATGAAGTGCGACCTCTACGCACTCCCAAGACTCGCTGAGGACGAGGAACTCATGGAGAGGATCTTAGAGTTTCTGGTTGGCTCTCAACTGAGCAAGGTAATCACCTACAACTACTCACAGTACAACACTATTGATGTCATTGAGTTTTACCTCAACGCTGACTACCAAGACGAAGTTATCACCTCCACTGTGAATGGAGAGAAGGTCACTGTTGATGCGGAGGTCATCAATGGTTTTTTTAAAATCCAGGCTGACAACGAATCCAACGATCTTATTGACCTAAAAGATGTGGAACTCACTTGAGCATGAAATGCAGCATGAACTCCTCTCATCTGCTCAAGAGCACATTCCTATGCCCAAAACAAGAGGACTGGGGATGCCTACCTCTGAGAATGCAGAACCACAGATACCCTTCAACAGGTTTATTGAGGCTGCTGAGGATTTTGGTGGCCAAGTGCTGGATGGAATGCAGAAATTAGTAATGATCAATCAAGGTCACTATGAGCATCTGACCCAGGTGAATGCAACCTTTGAATCAGGCTTAAAGCATCTGTCTGATACTCTGGCAACCTCTCTACACAACTTCATGACCTCTTCAAATGCCAAAGTCAACAATCTCTCAACCGAAGTAGGAAGCATCAATACAGTACTCCACACATTGGGTCAGACTCTCAACTCTCAGAATGCTACTCTTACCAAGCTTTCTCAAGCTATTGACTGCCTACAGAAGTCTGATACCCAAACTCAAGAGAAATTACAAAGACTAGAAGCACTCTGCAGAGAACACTCTGAACAAGGCAAATTACTCTTGGCTGCTGACAAAGAAAGATATCAGAAGATGGTCTTACTGGAAGCAAGCAACAAAGATATCTTCTCTGCTATCCAGAAATAGCAAGGGTTGATAGAAGGTCACACCTCTGTCACACAGACCCTCCCAGAAGTCCTCGAACAGATAGCCTCCAATCAAGCCTCGGAATTTCAGAAACTCAACTTAATGCTAGAAGACATCAATGATGCAAAAAAAGGGGAAGAGGACCATCAACCTCCTAAGCCTCGCTCTGCTAGAGCATCATCTTCTGCCAAACCAACAATTGAAGAAAGCAACAAAGATATCTTCCTACACCATATTTTGAAGCAGCAATCCAGAAGAAAAGAGCAATTGGACTACCCAAACCCCCATCTCCACCTAAGAAGGCCTCTAAGAAGAAGAAGGCTCTGAATTTCATGGAATGGAGATTGGGTGGATCTCAAAGGATTGATAAATCCCAATTCGAGGAAATGAAACAGAAGATGATCTCTACTCAGCAGCAGAATTTCTATCTTGACAGAGATGGTCATGTGAAAGTCAGGCATGGTGGTTCCCTGGAAGAAGCTGAATATTGGTATCACAAGAAAATTCTTCCAGGAAAAGATGTTCATGAAGGAGTCCTTAGTTATCTTGATTCTGGACTGCAAGCTCTCACCCATCTGGGCCTCATATCAAAGCTCTGGCAACCTCATAGGTATTCGAGAAGAGGGGCAGACACCCACTCATATAATAGGATTGCTCGAAGACACAAGTTCAAGGAAGATAAAGGCAAACACCCACTAATATTATGTTTTTTCTCTTTCGGGTTTTCACGTAAAGATCGAGAGTTCATACAATTTATATTTATATTTACTATATTGTGTTGGATTAAACTCAACAAACGTATAATATCTTTTATTTATAAATTCATTGAAATAAGTGTATTGCTCCATACTTCCACCGTTCTTTAATTCTTGCAACATTGTGATTTTTGCACTATTCATAGGTCTTACTTTGACCACGATTTTCTACTAATATACATAATCAAATTATTACATATAAAATGTTATTAAATTCCTACCAATGTGAATTTCCAAAATATCAAATTTTTATAACGTTTACTAATACATAATTAAATATAATTAGCGTTGGCAAACGTAAAAGTCAAACTGTTGCAAGAATTAAAGAACGGAGGATAGTATTACATTAGCACTTTGGTTCTACAATTGATGTAGGAGTGGACTCGGGTCGGGCCAACCGGACCGGCCCGCTACTATGCGAGCCCGAACCGGCCCGGTGAACCGGTTGGTGCCCGGTTCAGGCCACCCGGCCCGGTGAGGTATGCGGTTCGGGCCCGGGTCTGCTAAATAGTGAACCAGCCCGGCCGGTTTGGGGCCGGTCCGGACCAATTTTTTTTTTTTAAGTTTTTGGGTTGGGCCAGGTATGATGGGTCATTTGAGGTGGTTTGGGGTGGTTTGGGAGGGTTGGGGGTTAATTAGGAGAAGCCAAAAAAAATTACATGAACCGAGGCCCGGCCCGGACCCGGGGTACAAAAGTATAAAGTTTATTAAGGACCAGAGGGAGTACCAAAAGTATATGTATACCGTATACCGTGCGATGCACGGGTAAAATATTGGAAATTTGAATACTGTTGTCAAAAAAAGAGTATTTCACATACAAAATGCATTCAAAGTATAATGCATATTTTCTGGTGAAAAAAATACACGGTTACAATTTAATGTGACTGCAAATTATAATGTTTTTAACCAAAAAGTCACCTCATATTATGCCGATTCCGCCCGAAAAGTGCATCTAGTCAACGCAGGTCCCTACAGATCGGTTTTGTTGCCATGCCAAAAAGCAGACCACATATACTTCCACATTTACCAGTAGCTTAGCACATAATAGTAATGCATACAAAACAGTAATATAATGATACTACACCAAACAACAAATTGAAGAGTCATAACTAATAGGAATATCACAGAAATCTTCCAATCCCATTTGGGTTCAGATTGGACATTTGAGTTTGCCCTCTACAAACAAGAACATATAAATCACAATTGCACTATCTATAAATAACTGCCAAACATCACCTGCCTGCTAAAATACATAGTAAGCAATAAAGATTTCTTGGAGACCCCAGGATAATCTTGTTTGTCTGTCTAATAATCACCATCCAATCTGCTATCATTGAAAGGTCAAATAAATGGATTAGTTTTTTAATCAAAGGCTTAAAAAACACATAAGAGTTTAAGCCAATTCTCATAAATAAGTAGCAAAGAGAAGTTCGGAAATTTTTGTTCTTTCCTAAAAACGCATACACCAATGGAGTGCTCTTGGGATAAATTATAAGGTTTTTGAGCCAGTGCCATCAATCGCGGATAGTGGAGCTTAGCGGCCAACCATGAAAACGCTATCACAGGTTGTATAGTCGATAGCGGGATGACAGCTGCTACTGAGACTATATATGCAGAATACATAATTATATGCAAGGTTTTGAAAGGCGAAATCGGGCCTCGAGGCGTTCGGGGGTAGCCTTCCGAGGCGTAAGCCTCGAGGCGTAACGAGGCGTAAGCCCCGAAATTTAATTGCTTAAGTGTATCTACAAGCCTATGACATATTAGAAGGTATAGATAATTCATAACAATAACATATCTAAACAAAATCACAAGTAAAAATATCATAACTACAAAATATTCAAGTCCAAATAATATAAAACTGAAATACCAAAGTCAAAACTCAAAAGAACATAAAACATTAAAATTCTAAGACAAGAAAATAAAAGTTTAGGAGTTTAAGTTTGCAAATTGACAAATTGGAACTATTAATCTTCAAAACTAAGCCTATCGTCCTCTTCATGAGTATCCAAATTAGTAATGTCATTCTCATTGTCATCTCCTTCATTTTCACGGGCCTCATTATCTTCTTCAGTTCCAACTGTAAGGTCCACCCCTACACACATAAAGTCACAAAAATAGAATGAAACGGAATGGAAGTTAAGTGTAAATAAGTATATTGAAGGGACAAAAAAATAAAATATTAAGTTATGAACCTCTGAATTCGTTGTCCATTTCATCAACAACTAATGCAAGTTCATCACGTGCATCCACACTTTCTCCATCATCTGCATTCGGTTCAGCAATCCACTCATCATCAGATGATACATTATCGAAGATCAAATTATCCTCTTTCTTTTGTAATCTGCTCTTCCTAAACTTCAACTTCTTGTTGAACATTATAAATACCAAACTATTCAACTTAATGGCTGAAAGACGATTCCTTCTCTTCGTATGGACTTGATTGAATGTGCTCCAATTTCGTTCACAAGCGGAAGAAGAACACGTCAAGCCAAGAATTTTGACCGCAAAAGCCCGTAGTTCTGGAATATGATCTCCAAATTGATCCCACCATTCCACTAAAAAATGTTAAAGAATTAAAAAAAATCTGTTTTGCAACAATACACAAGTACACTATGTATAAACATTAAAGATATTAAAGATGTAGTTTAATGTTTACCTGGGGGACGTGTTTTATATGAATTTTGAGCCGCCCTCATTCCGAAAAGTCCACGCTTGTATCGATATTCATCCATTTGTGCATCAGCTTGGTTAAAATCACTACTATCAGAAATAAGCCTCTCCATACAAGCATACAAACCTTTCTTAACCTCCACATTAGTAGAGAAGTCATCCTCCCATTTGAATCTGGGATTCAAATAATACGCTGCAGCATGCAAGTCCCGATGTAGTTGGTGCTCCCACTTCTCATCAATTATCTTCCAAATCTCACTATAAGTGGAATATTGATTTCCAAAATTTTCTGCAATTTTTTCTTTTGCAGAATCCATAGCACCGTAGATGAATCCCATTGCAGGCTCATCACCATCAACAATCCTCAAAACTTCAACTAATGGCCTTGATGTTTTTATTGAGTAAGCAACCCCAGGCCAAAACGTTCTGTCATCCATCACAATCTTTTTAACCTCCTTCCCCTCAACTAATTTTGCATAACGACTTGAAGTCCACTGTTTAGAAACAAACATTCTTTGCAGGGGCTCTTTTGCGGTGGCGATCAATAGGCCCACGCGGTTGAGGTCCAGTTACTCCAGTTCCAAAGTACGAGCCAGAATCTACCATTTCATCAAAAAACTTCAGGTTAACGTGTTTCTGATCTTGATAGTTCTTCAACATTGCTAGCACATCCTTTTTAACATTTTCCGGAACACTTTTGCATGGCGCCACATTTTTATGTGTTCCCGCAAGGTGCTCTTTAAGTCTCCCCACTCCACTGGTGATCACCTTATTGCAATATTTGCATTTTGCATATACATAACCAGTCTTTCCTGCCGGAGGATTCAATTTAATTCCATACTGCCAAGCAGGATCCTTATCCTTATTTGAGCTAGACCCCTCTCCCTGATTCTTACTGGGTTTAACCATCGTGAGTAATCAGCCCACTCCTATGAATAAAATGATTTTTTTTACAAGAATTTAAGTAAATTACTCACAATAAATAACTAAATAATTGATAAACAACTTTAAAAAAAAATATAATCAAACTGTATGAACTTAACTATAACATGACTAATTAAAATTAAATCTTGACTGAAGTAAATTAGTAAACTACTAATTTTATCTTGACTAGTAAATTAGTAAACTAACTAATTTTATCATTGCTTAAATGTTTAAAAGAATATCCCATCTAAACAAAATCAAGTAAAAATAACATAACTATAAAACATCCAAGTCAGAATAACATAAAATTGAAATGCCAAAGTCAAAACTCAAACCAACGTAAACACTAAACTTCCAGGACAAATAAATAAGCTAAATGATAGTTTTATGATCACTTTAATGTTTAAACTGTAGGCCAATAGTACAGTAATAAATTAATAAAATAATAATATTGAATGACAAGTTGACAACCATAATACTTGATAGCATAAGTGCATAACAACTATAGTGAGGCGGTGGAATATTTTATAGTTTGCTGGCTGAAAAAGCATTAAATACGTAGCAGACTATTTACTTCAAACCTGAACTTTTAAATAATTAAAAATTTAAAACAAATTAACTTAAACAATAAATACAACAAGAAACTATAGAAGTATGCTGTACACGGTGGGATATTCTATACAAGTGGTCGTTGGGATATTTTAGTATATTTACTTAATAATACCTGGAAATCTGGAATGAAAGCAACTCTGAAAGATCGAAGTCTACGTACTCAGCTTCAAGCCTTCGACTGAGAGAGTTTTTCAAGCCGTTTCTTAATATAGTAGTAGTGGAAGGTAATTAAATAGTTACCTAGGGATGTCGTGTGTTACCTAAGAGATAAACGTGTGGTTTAAAAAAAAAATCGAGGCCCAATAGTTCAAAAAAAAAGAGCCCAAGTTGCGTTTAGTGAAATGCGTACGCCTCAATTACGCCTTGCGCACTGGGATCGCATCACCGCCTCAGCAAAAAAAGGCGTTAGCCTTGTTAGTGGAAGGTGATGCTCAAGCCTTACAGGCGATTTGATAGCGCCTTTGCGCTTTTACGCCTCTGAGGCGTAGGTGCGTTTAGCCTTTTAAAACCATGATTATATGTATGAATATAATTACATTTACATGCCAATGTGTCATGCACATATCAAATCCAAGAAATGATAAATATATTACTCAGTCTCAAACCTCAATATCGCTGAATTAGTGAATTCACTCATGGTCAAAATTTAGGTGTTCCTATCTGAAATTACTTCAAGGATACCCTACATATCTACACATACTCGTACATTCAGGATTTGATGACAAAAATATTGCAAGATCAAAGATTTTAGAGTTACAGGCTCAGATTTAAAGAGAGGCGAGCGGTAGAACATTTGATGATTGCCATCCCTAGAATTTAGGTTCCAGAATTATTAGAAGTCTAGAGCCAGTGGAGTGAAAACTCAAGTCCTTATTCTATTAAGGTTTTTGAGAAGATAATGATTCGTTTCTATTTAAATATTATGACTAGACGAGCAAACAAACTTTTATAAGGAAAAGCAAAAAATGAAGCAGGATAAATGTTGAATAAAGAGATTAATGAGTTAGGAGATACCTAAAGAACTGCTGCTCCACAAATAAATGGGTATTCACGGTGAGGCATTTCCAATTTGAACATTTGCTGGTTCCTGAGGTTAACCCTAAGGAAATTGGTTTCCGAAGGATACTTTACAGAAAGAGGAAATGAGAGTGCAGGTGTAGTAATCACGTCAAGGCAAAATGTTGATACAACAAGATAGAAGTCCTTCACTTTTATATTCAGACATATCATGATGCCAAAGAACTCACCATTCCCCAACTCAAGAAATCCACAGCTTGCAAAACCTAACTCCTCTTCTCCCAAAGAGAAGATGTCATCAATCCTTTGATAGCAAGAAAACCCTTTTCCTTCAGTGAAAAGCGAAGCATAAAATTGTGGGAATTCGGACCACTCATTCCCTTTACATCCAAGAATGACATGCTGTCCATGATCTAAACCCGGAACAGAGACACCAACTTCTAACAGGGCACGAAAAGTCCACTTAGCAAAAAAGCAATCATCCTCAGACCATTTCTCTGTCTTTAGATCTAAAATAAAGGACTTCACTGCACGTGAACTGTCGACATTCAAGTATAACTTGTCCCCGACTCGACAGTACATATTCACTGTGTAACACCCCGAGGATTCAACGATATCATGGATAGGCGTATATAATTTAGCAACCCACCCTTCTGTAGGAGAAGAAAAATCATATACTTCAAAAATGCATTTTTCGGTACAAGAATTGCGCACATTTGGTTTGAAATGGCCCATGCTATGGAGTACAAATATCTTGCTGCCGAATTTTTGGACAATGGGCATTCCCTTTCCCTCATTTAGATTCGGGATGACCTCTGAAGCAGCTACTGTCATGGACTTGGTATCTTGCTTCAGCTCATAGACTTTACTGGAAAAAAATTGATTATATTTACGATCTGTACGAAAGCGTTTACCAATACCATCTTTAATAAGCTCTTGACCGCCTACCAACAATATCTTAGACTTAATTGCCACCATACCCATTATCAAATTTGGCAGATCTATTGCAGTGCAAATATCATTGTTGCTGATTCCGCCAATCCCGAAACAATTTGTGTTTATATTAACCACATATAGTTCATGGAACGTAAGCACACAGAGAGTCTTTCCGACGCCGCTTTGCAGATCTTTCTTCTGTATCTTTATACTTTGTGCTTCTATGTCGATGCTTATTTGTTCTTCCCTTGCTGTTTTAGCCATCCTCGTATACCTATTTTGAGTTGAGAACATAGCAAAGTTGATAAATAAGGGGCAAACATTAGGAGAAAATATCAACCAGCACATTCATAGTTCCCATATCTAATTTTAGCATGAGAGGCCTGAACAACTAACCACTGAAACGACCCGAGAAGATTGTATCTGCGTATTTTCGCGTCGTTCGCGAGATCGGGAGAATTGAAAAGCGGAAACTTTGCGAGTTTGCGCAGCTCGAATGAGAGAGATGAGGGAGGATGGAGGTTGGCTTCGGTTCTGATCGGACACAGAAACACCTATTAGGAGAAAATCGGATAGGGTTCAGTTTTTGTAAATTTAAAAATCCCACCCACATCTGCCTGGTCGATGCCCCCAGCCCCTCCTACCTTGAAGGTTCGATAAGCCTTCAAGGTAACTCTGTTGGGCTAATCTAGGTAACTCTGAAACATACCCGCACGGGTAGTTCAGTTGATCGAGTGGTGGGAGATTTGGAACAATGGACCAAGGTTCGAATCCCCGTAGCGACCGGATGGATGTCACAGAACCTGAAATAAGGCTGGGCCTCTGGTGCGCACGTGTGTATGGGCCTACTGCCATTCTGCTGACTGAGTCACCGTGACTAACCTCCCCACCATCCTGTCGGGTCGGGGTGGGGGGCTCCTGGGGTGGGAGATTCCGCCTTTTTTTTGGAACAATAGGTAAGTCTGAAACATTATTAAAGGATTGAAACATGGGAAAATCGGATCCTCTTCCTCCGGGCAACAAGTATACTTTCCTTAAAATCGACCTTCCACCTACCAGCTCCTCCATCTTCAATGTATTGCACAGCTATATCCGCATCCATTGCCACCATGAAACTAGAAAAACCTTTCGAAATGGCCCACTTCATAGCATACAACGCCATAGAGATTTCAGCTTCCAGGAGAGAAGACACGTCAAGAGGGAAAGCTATCGCACAGATCATCATCCCATTTTCATCCCTCATGATTGCCCCTCCCGAAGTTTCACCAGGTAGGAATTTAGAATCTGTGTTAAGTTTAAAAGCCTCTTTAGGTCTCTTCCATTTCACAGCTTTGTAATAACCTACCTTTGCTTTGAAATTGGCAGGAATCAAATTTTCTTCATAGAGAATATCACCAATTGATCGAACCTTCAAGGTAGGAAAACTATTGACCCAAGCCTGTGTATAAAGATTGATCTGTAAAATTATCTGATCAGACTATATTTTACTGTCGTCCGATCCCCAGATAATACCAGTATAAGATCTCCACAAGTGCCAACAAATTATACCAGGTAGATTATATTTGAAAATATATGTTAAACTAATACTTCCAGCCCTAATCCACCAAGACATGAAAACCTCCTTAATAGAACTGGCAGGTCTAGGAAGAGGAATACCCATAATGTTCATAAAATAGAACGAGTTAGGCTGAGCCATTTTACATTGGAAGAATAAGTGATCAACATAATCCTCACTATTTTTGCAAAGGGGACAAATTGAGGGATTTAATACCAATTGAAATCTTTTTAGATTACCAGTAGTAGGTAATATACCTCTTATAATCTTCGACTCAAAAATTTTGATTTGCCGAGGCTTTTCATTAATATAGAGCAAGCATGCAAGATAATACGCGGACAGCAATTTCAGATCCGATCATCAACCCTAGGAATAGATTTAAAGTCAGCCACTCATACAAATCAACTTAACTCAATAGACACAAAGAGTCTTCTGTATCTTTATACTTTGTGCTTTGCAGCACACAGAGAGTCTTTCCGACGCCGCTTTGCAGATCTTTCTTCTGTATCTTTATACTTTGTGCTTCTATGTCGATGTTTGTTGGGATATTGATCCAGAGGCCCAATACCCGGATCAAACAGGCCCAGGATACCCGGCCCAAACAATGAGTCCATTATCCTATGATGAGCAGGCCCAGTGAAGAATCCATACCGAAGGGGGTTCGGTCCGAGTAAAGGCCGGCCCAGAAAGGAGAGATACCGAACGGAGTTTGGACCATATATCATACTTGGGCCAATTTGACATCGTCATTTGCAAGGTCCAACATCCCGTTCGAGCAACGGGCAACCAGCAAGTGGCCAGATGCAATTAATGCCAGATTGTGACATCAGCAAGTGGAAACATGGGTGATCAAGTCGGTGGAACAACGGCCAATCAGCATAGAGCAGCCCATGCTCTCCATTAGTATAAATAGAAGGTTTAAAATCATTGTAAGGGTTAGCATTTCAATACTCAAGCTCTAGAATAACATTATTACTTTTGTTTCCTGTATTAAAGCACTGTTCCGACCTACCGATCGGGAAGTTTCCTTGTAATCAGACAGGTTAATTAATACAAGTGGGCTTTTGGGTATTATTGAATTCATATTTTATATTTTGTTATACACTTCGATTCTGGTCCATTCCTGATATATCCAAAGTTCGTGTTGGGCTTTCGGATCTACGGGACTTACCTTCAACATTGGCGCCGTCTGTGGGAAACTGTTCAAAAAGTTTCACATTCAATTATTCCAAAATAACTATTTTTAAAATGGTCAGAATCAGTTCTTATCACACAAACGATGGTTCATGCCGTCACGGAAGGAGTCACACCCCGGGAAATCAAACCCCTCAGGGACAATCCAGCCGAGGATCATATCCTCATTTTGATGGGGACTTTGTGATTCCTGAAGCTCTAAGGAGGAATCCTCAGGCCATGCGAGATATGGCCCAGGTCATGCAGCACATGGCAAACGAGGAAGAAGGAGGATCCAATTTTACAGGGGAAACTCCACACACAGAAACAACCACAGCGTCATCCCGCTCGCAGGCCCATCGGGATAATCGCCGTGGCGCTCCACCAACAGCGCATCATACTCCCAGTGACCGGACCCCGATCGGGTCACAAGCCAGGGGACCTACTCCTATTGGTCGTCATTTCCAGCATGACGAACGGAATAATACTAGGGCTGCTCAAAGGCATTGGGATCGGGAGTATACAGATTTGAAAGCTCCACCACCGCCCCATTTGACGGCCCAGGAGGAAGAAATGGCTGAAATGAGGAGGTAGATGAACGAGATGAGAGATCAGATGAATAGTGCGCCCGTACAGCCTGCCCCAATTCAGCTCGTGATTACTTCCCCCTTCACCAGGGAAATTATGTACGCGGACATCCAGGGAGGTGCCAAACCACCGGCCGGTCAAATTTATGACGGGGTGGGAGATCCCCATATGCATTTAAGGAGTTATCAAGGAGGACTCATGTTACTAGAAGCACCTGAGGCTGCTATATGCCGGTTGTTTTTCAGTACGCTCAAAGGGCCCGCCCAGGAGTGGTTCGGGACCGTGCAACCCGGGTCGATCAACAGTTTCGCCGAATTATCGACGTTATTCTTGGCCCAATTTTCTTCCAGTGCCAACCCAAAACGGCATTTCAGCTACCTGACAAGCGTGAAGCAGAACTCCAAAGAAACCCTCAATCAATTCTTAAAAAGATGGAGGGACGAAACTCTGACAGTTGGAAGTATGACGGATGATACCGCCATCACCCTATTTACAAACGCTCTCCGAACGGGAGAGTTATATAAGGATTTGAAGAAGAATCCAGGTACAGCATATGCCGAGGTGTTAGACAGAGCTCACAAGCATGCTGCCCTGGAAGAAGAGATTATGATCAGGGACAAGGTCGCTGTGCCTACCACCCCAATCAAGATGGCCGGTCGGCTGGGTCCTACCCCAGTGGCCGCTCTCCCTCCTAAGCAAGGGCGATTTACTCCCCTGGTCCTGTCCGTGGCAACCATTTATCAGAACGAGAAGGACAACATTCCCCTTCCGACTGATTCTTCACAGTATATGGGAGCAGACGAGTCTGCTTTTTGCAAATATCATAACAGGAAAGGTCATGCCACCAACGCCTGTAGGGCACTACAAACGGCTATTGAGGACTTGATCCGACGGGGTCATCTCGGCAAGTATGTGAGTAAGGATCCAAGTGCGGTAGGCACTTTAAAACCGATCAGGAAACCCAACAGCTGGCGACGGGATGCCCAACGTGATGCCCAGCCCCAGAATGACGTATATACCCCCCCCCCCCAGGGATGAACCAGAGGGCTCGGGAGGCCCCGGAAAGAAACCTCGAATGGAGGTCAAGGTTATATTTGAGGGCGGGGAAATAGGGGATTCGAACGTCGAACGGAAAAGATTCGAGCGAAGTCTTTATGTAGGATCCATCTCCACTCCCCCCAGAAGAAAGGAAGGACGGACCCGATCACGTTCGGGCCAGCTGATTTACCCAACTCGCCAAGCCCCCCCCCCCCCCCCCCCCACAGGGATGAATTGGTGGTGAGCATGTGCATTGACAATGCTTTGATATGCCGGGTGCTGATCGATACCGGGAGCAGTGTGAATGTATTGTACTTACAATCATTCGAGAAAATGGGCCTACAGAGAAGTCAATTGACCCACCTGAGAACCCCGCTGGCAAGCTTCACCGGTAACTGTATTGAGGCTGAGGGGACCATCCAATTGTTAGTTGAAATTGAGGATGAAACACACAAGGCATCACTCCGAATGACGTTCGTGGTGGTGGACATAAAATGTGCCCATAATGCCATCTTGGGCCGACCAGGATTGGAAGATCTGGAGGCAATAGCCTCTGTCCGCTACTCGTGCATCAAATTCCCCACGGACACCGGGGTTGGGGTGGCCAGAACTGATCTGGCGACAGCCCGAACATGCTACCGAGAGGCCCTGAAGCAGATGAACACCCGTGGAATGCGGGTTAACAGTATTGAGGTGGAGACCCACCGAACGGAATTCGAGGCACATCCAGAGCCTGCCACTCTCCTCGAGCAAATTGACCTGGATTTCCCCCCGAATCGGAAGGTAGCTATCGGGGTGGATCTGGAGGCTGACATTCGGGATGGCGTGATTGTTGTCCTAAAAAAGTTCCAGGTATTATTCACCCGAGGGCCGGAAGATATGCCGGGTATTGACCCAGAGATAATCTGTCACAAGCTTGCCATTCGGCCTGATGCAAAACCAGTCCACCAAAAGAAACGATATCAAGCAACCGAACGGCGGGATTTCACAAAGCAGGAAGTGGCCACCCTGCTGAGAATAAAACACATCCGTCCAGTAATCCACGTCGAATGGCTATCCAATGTGGTCCTAGCTCCAAAACAATCTACTTGGAGGATGTGCGTGGATTACTCGGATCTGAATAAAGTTTGTCCCATGGACCCTTATCCAGTGCTGAGGATCCATCTGTTACTAGATGAAACGGCCGGATGTGAATTGTTGAGCTTCATGGATGCATTCCGGGGATACCATCAGATCTTCATGCACCCAGATGATGCAGAGAAAACAACATTTGTCATGCCATTCGGATTAAAGAACGCAATGGCGACTTTTCAGAGGATGATCGGGATGATGTTCAAATAAGTGTTGGGAGTCACAATGGAAGCTTATGTCGATGATATCCTGATCAAAAGCCGGAAGAAGGAGAATCATATCCTGGACATAGAAAAGGTGTTCGGGATAGTGCAGAAAGCTAACATGAGATTGAATCCCAAAAAATGTGCTTTTGTTGTGAGAGGGGGCAAATTTTTGGGATACATGATGAGCGAGAAGGGGATTGAGCCCAATCCTGAAAAGGTAAAGGCAATTGTGGATATGGAGGCTCCTAGAAACCTCAAGGAAATGCAGAGATTGACCGGTCGGTTAGCAGCTCTGAGCAGATTCCTATCCAAGCTAGCCGATCGAGCTATTCCATTCTTCCAGATCATGAAAAAAGCCAACCCCTTTGAATGGACCGCCGAGTGTCAAACAGCTTTTGAAGATTTCAAGGCATATCTATCTCCCCCCTGGTCTTGACAAAACCCGATCCAGGGGAACACCTGTATATGTACCTTGCTGTAGCTGACCTAGCCGTGAGCACGGTATTGTTGAAAGAAGAAGATGGCATCCAGCGGCCAATCTATT